TAGTTCTGAAAATAATTATAAACTTACGATTTATTAACGAATTTATAGCACCAGTATCTACAAAAATCTTTGAATCAATATTTAGTCCAGTGCAATTAGTCATAATAAATGAAAAATGATGGAACGCAGTTATAGCAAATGGATTTGAATGATTTTTCTTTTGGATTACTGATGCTATAAATTAAAAAGTTTACCTACTTAAAATTACCGCAACTTTGTTTTTCTTTGAACTTTTTTAAAATTAATTTGTAAAGGGTATAATCTCCAAAGAGCGAAGAAATGCTAGAAACGTTAACTACAACTTATGCTAAGTAGTAATTATTATAAATTTTAATGTTTTTAATAGTTTATAAACTGTTTATAAAACGTTAAAATTATATCACATCCAATTAATGCATGTAAAAATAAAATATGCTTCTTACACATTTTGCCAATGTTTGCTCAAAGCGTTTATTTAGTAACTTTTTACGGATACCGTTTCTTTACTTGTTTGAGAAAATATATTTTTCTATGCGGAGGTGTTAAACTGTTAATAAAACTTACACATTAGTATCTTCAACAACAACAAGATTTTCTGATTCAATCTTAATTTTCGTTTGTATGATTAAAGTATCAGCATCACTTTTCGCTTAACACGAGGAAATATTATTATCAGCTAGTTTCATCCTTAACATTTCGATGAATCTACTTTTATTATTGCTGTTTGCAAGCAACTTTTCTTGGCGAATTTTTAGAGTCATATTTTCAGTAAAAATTGAGTCTGTTAAGACATTATTCAATGTTCAGCGATATCATTCAGTTGATTTAGTGCTGTTGATGTTGCCATATCCTTCAAAAATTAAAAATATAAAAAAGCGAAAGGTTTCGAGGGGTAAACATTTTACATTATCGTATAAGAAATTTAAAAAAATCCAGAAACATTTAAATCCATTCGTTATAGCTCTATTCCTACGTATAAACCTAATTGTGCTGGTCTAACTATCTCTTAAATCTAGTATTGAACTATTAAAATTTGTCAAAATAAACTTGTTCTTTAATTTCTGTCCGAGACAGGTAATTGTTGAGTAAATGATTGTTCCAGATTTAAATATTAACTGAACAATTCACTTTAGTCCCTGAATAAGGTAACCTTGTTACCAAAAAGTGCTTCGGACAACTAGTGTCGTGTTTTGGAGTTGGGGTTTGAGCTATTTTGTTTGTTCTACAAGTTTGAAAATGATTATTATTTTTAATGCGCTAAAATTATAAATAGAAAAAACGTGGTTTTAATTCTTCTGCAGCAACTATTTTTAAGACATCTTCTTTAGATTCAGATAACAGGTCAACAAGTAAATGTATTGTTACCTAAGATAGTTATATGACCGTTTGATCGGAATCCAATGGAATGGTATAGTTTCCACTACACATTTCAAATGTCAGTTCATAATGATAAAGACATTCCCGCTGTACAAAAATTTCACCTTCTTAAAATGCATTAGGTGGAGAATTAACCTCAATAATTCATCCTTTAGCAGCTACTGAAGAAAATTATTTTGTATCTTGGGATTTATTAAAACAAAGTTGTGATAGGCAGCGCGTAATAGTTTATACTCACATTAGGGCAATTATGGATATTCCTGAAGTTACAAAGGAATCTCCACAGAGTATAAGAACTTTAAAGGAAAAAGCATTAATGCACGTTTATGCGTTAATCAATATAAAAACGTTAGCCATCATTTAAAATCAAATCCTAGAACAAACACATTTATAGGAATTCAAAATTCATATGTTTGTAAATTTTGTAAGGGTAATCACCTTATATATAAATGTGAAAAATTCTTAATATTGAATCCACGAGATGGGGGAAATGCGGCAAGAGAAAGGCGATTATGTAGCAATTGCTTACGAGATAAATGCTCTGCATCAAATTGTAGAACATGTCACAAACATCATCATTTCTTGCTACATATTGATTCAGATAAAAATAATCAAAGCAATGTAACTATTAAATTACATACATGAGCGTCAAATAAAGTAGGGGTTTTAAAGTTCAAATTGCCCAATTTTTTATCCATTGGGACAGTCTGGTTCTGTTATCATATTAGCTAAATGCATTATGCAAGTCAAGTTAGATTGGAACGAATCTGTTTTACAAATTATTTCTACAAGGTGGGTAAATTGCCCCTGTTAAATAAATTTAAAGTACTTAGAAAAATAGTTTTAACCTATACGACAGACATACAAATACATGGCTTCTGTGATGCCAGCAAGTATGCTTATGGAGCCTGTTTATATGTAAGATCAATTAACAAATCTAATCAATGCTCAATACAGTTGATTTGTGCTAAATCTTGAGTTGCTCTTCTTAAAATCAAGTCTATACCCAGATTAGAGTTGTATGCTGTACTTTTACTCGCAAAGCTGTTGAAATTAGTTGGAAAATCATTAAATTTATCTTATAATAAAGTGAAATTATGGTTCGACTCAACTATTGTTCTTTATTGGATTATAACTTCCCCTCACCAATTTAAAACATTCGTTGCTAACCGTGTAGCATACATACAAATATCAATGATTGGAACTATGCGGTCAAACACCCATCGAATTACTAAACAATGCCCTTTGGCTGCATGGCCCGGCTTGGTCATCAAAGGTGTACAAGCAACGTTAAATTCAGTAAGGCGTAATTATTGTCCAGTTAACGGTAATAATCTAATGCGTTATATTATACACGAATGCATTCAGTGCTCGAAATTGAGCCCTAAATTGCTAAATTATATAATGGATAAGTTACTAAAGTCTCAACTTACACAATCTAGATCATTTGAAGGGGATCGATTATTGTGGTCCATTTCTGTTAAAGGAAAATATCTGAAATAAAAATAAATTCAAATCATACGTAACAGTATTTCTTTGCTTTAGTACGAAAGCAATTCATCTAGAGCTTGTCACAAAATTAGCGACGGAAAGCTATTAAACGTTTCGTTGCTCCACAGCGTAAACCTAAAAACGCATGCTCGGATAATGCTACTAATTTTATAGGAACAAAAAATGAAATTGTAAAGAAAAGGGCCTTTTTCTTATCTGCTGAAAATAATAGTAAAATTTCACATTATCTCAAAGATGAAGAAATCAGCTAGCACTTTTCACCACCTCGATCGCCTCATTTTGGAAGGCTGTGGTAGGCGGCCGTAAAATAATTCAAACACCATTTATACTGTACAATAGGGCCAAAGATGAACAATTTGATACATGTATCGTGCAAATTGAATCTATCTTGAATTTCAGACCTTTGACTTCCTTGTCGTGTGACCCTAACGATTTAGTAGAATTACCCCCTGTCCATTTCCTTTCCATTTGAAGATTATTTAACGAGCATGCCAGAACAGGATGTCACCCAATTATCGTTGTGGCAACAAATACAACTGATAAAATAGCATTTTTGGCAAAGGCGGTATAAAGAATATCTGAATGAACTTCATATAAGTAAATGACACTTAAATAGAAATGAAAACATCAAAGTGGACACATTGGCGACTATTAAATCCTATGCATTCGTGTCTCGGCCGCATTATCGAGCTTCATCCTGGTCAAGACAGTGTTGTGCGTGTTGTGACGATGAAAATTTAAAACGGACTGTATAAAAGAAGTGTGAAAAAAATATCTCCACTACTCATATAATTAAACAATTCATCATCATCATCATCAAAGGTCGTCAATCCTAAAACTGTTGGACACGCACCTCCACTCTTTCCTATCCTGAGCTAATCTTCGCATTTTCCAAAACTTGAGCAACTCACATCCTTAACTATATGCGAACAGTAATCTAATCTAGGTCTACCTCTACTCCTTTTAACTCCTATTTCTGCATCTAACATGTTTCTGACTACACTTTCATGCTTGTGAAGGTGTCCTACCAACCTATCTCACCTATTTCTTATTGATTTCCTTAAAGTCCTCTAATCTTATATTCTTTCTAATACCTCTTCATTTTTAAGCTTCTCTATCCACAGTATCCATTCGCCTATAACACCACAGTTCTGACGCGTCTAACCTTTTCTTTTCCGCTACTCCCACCGTCCATATTTTTGCAAGGTTGTAGACTAGAAATTAGTAATATGTTTTAATAGTACCTAATCTTTAAGTCTTAGTAATAAGCTATCATAAACATTTTAGAGTCATTTCATGATGCATTGTTACTGTAACACACAAATGTATAATTTAAATAATTGAACGCAAGGCGTTCAAGGCGGCCGATATGTTGCATTCCACGCAATAATATATTCATATAATTTTATTTCTTACCTATTTTAACAGTAATTTAATATTTTCAGAATTTAGTATTATTATGTTTATTATTCTCTTGTGCTATTTTTCATGGTTTTCTTTTGTTGTATCACGTTCCATTTATTGCGAGACTTACTAATTTATGAAATCATAAACAGGAAAATGAGTATCCACGGTCAGACAAGTACCGGATGAAGTGCGCAGTGAGTTATTCGTTTGTTGTTAGGGTCGTGCTGAACCCTCTGGTATGCTGTTTGGGTTTCTTTCTCAACCCCCACTTTATTAGTAAGCTGGTTTGGTTTAAAACTAATGTAAATATAGTTTGAAAAAAAGCAGAATCGAATCAGACTTCAATAACAATAATTGAAATAACTTTTAACTCAGATACTCAGAATTTTCCATATTGTTTATTAATCATAAGTATATTATTTAGTTAGTGGAATATTGGTGTAAATAAACCTTTAAAAGTCACATCATCGTTTTTATCCCAAAGAAATAGATTACTCGACATTAATTTACTTATCGTGTAACAGTGAGAATATAAGAACACTTTCAATTAAGAAATATTTTGCTCACACAATAAAACACCTTTCACACACAAAATGGACACGAATATCTATTGTTGTTTTTCGAGATGTTAAAATAATTATGGATTTTCCTAATTTACAATTTTGAAAATTAATTATTCTTAAGACGACAGAAAGCATCCTTGATTTTGAACATCTTTCTTCCAGAATGAACTGAGCGAAAGATTGCGTTTAAGGCGTGGAAGGGGTGACACGAGTGAAGACGACGAAGGTTTACCACATAGCCCATGTAATTCGCCTACAACAACTGATAGTCCATTTGTTCCTATCAATGTAAGTCAAATGCCACACATACGTATATATATGCAATGCGATTCACACCGTCAATATATTATGAAGCTATTCAGTTTTAAATTTGCATAATCATACTAACTTTTGAGTAGTTTACTATTAGAACACGTAACACGTTTATTTTTTATTGTAGGATCATAATACCAAATCTCATAGTACGTGTAGCGATGGATCGTTACTTAGCATGGGCAGTTCGGACACAGAGGAGGTAAGTAGTATACGTAATATTACAATTATTACATAAAAAGCTTTTGTACAGTGGAATTTGAATAAACTTGGTCACAACTCTGTAAGCAACGTCAGTTTTTAATAGCTATCCAAATTCATTCAAATCAATGCAAAAAATGTCTGTTAACAATGAAAACAAAATTAGATATAACATCATATTTTTATTGTTACGAATCCCTGAAACGGTCGTTTTTTGCTGGTACTTTCGTCCGACGACACTTACCGTATGGACTAACACAGTTCGTGCAATGTGCTTCCGAAATTGTTCAGTTTGCCTTGCAGATGTATACCGTGCAAACTTCCATTAATAATGACACTCAATTATTACGTTAAAATATCTTTGTTTCTAGAGTGACACCATAATCAAGTTCTACTGTATATATATATGTACACTGTCATTTTTATTTTCTCGATTAGTATTATTTATAATTTTTAAAGGTACATTAAGAAAATATATATATAAGTTAAAAATATTACATGCTTACAAATACATCCATACTATACAGGATATTCTATTTTAAAGGATTCTATTGGACTGCAGTCGTCACGGCATTCGTCAAAAGTCTCTCTTTTTGAGAAGAAAATAATAGAAAAGCAAGGTAATTTGAAATATTATCGCTTTTTTATAAGATTGCATGTGGACCAATTCAACATAAGGCATGTATTATCTTTCATGCTAGATTGTATTACAACAGGCAAATATAGAGTAACGTATTACTTATGTATACGTTTACTCTACTTCACTACTGTAAAAACAATACAACCTACAATTCTCAGGCATAGCTTATGCTGGGTGTAACAGAAATAAGTGGGGAGCTTTGTGTAAGCCGCCCATGAATGTGCGTAACTACCGAATATTAAACCTAACATGAGATAAAAGCTCTGCAACTACTACGATGTAGAATTTAAGCAGTGCTGGATACTTATCTGGGAGTTACTAGTTCCGGGAACAACAATTACAACTATGTGTAATGTATTGGTAAAATTGTTCGAAATTAAAACCCCGTGCTAGAAGACAAATTTCGAGACGTTTACCGAAATTTTCTGAGTATGTAATCCAGAAATATCTGGTATTTGGCATATTTCATTTGCAGCGATTATCACGCGACTGTACATTTGATTATGGTTGTGCATTGCGGTTTAATACATGCACTGTTTCATATAATCCCATGCAAAGAATCCAATCCATCGTCTAAGAAGCTGCTCGTCTAGAAAATCACGCACTGATCTTGCAATTTAAAGAGGTTCACCTTTATGTCAAAAATCATACCGAGATAGGTTGGTAGGACACCCTCTCAGCCATAAAGGTCTAGTCAGAGACATATTAGAGGCAGAAACAGAAGTTAAGAGGAGTAGAGGTAGACCTAGAGTAAGTAAATGTTCGCAAATAGTTAAGGGTGTGGGATGTTCTAGTTTTAGGAAAATGCGAAGATTAGCTGAAGATAGGAAGGAGTGTAGGTGCGGGTCCAACTAGTCTTATGACTAACCATCTTATGATGATGATTATGATGTTAACGTAATCTAATAAATAACAAACAATGCATGAATACAAAAATAATATAGAAATACAACGCTGATGATACTAGCTGATTGAATACGGCGTTCCAATACCGCATTTCTTTCTAGGTCCAAAATTACATTTTCCTGTACTTTCAACTATGTTTTTTTGGAAGACGATGAACTTTCAGATATACATTTACATAATTTTCTTGTTTTGTAATACCCTAGCACCTCCTGCAAGTTGTGCACTTATTTCTATTTCTGTTACACCCTGCATTATGTATGATAAACAAATGAAAGCAGAAGATCAATGAAAACGTAATTGGTACTCTGGGTATACAATTTATTTTGATGTTAATTTCTTATGCATTGCTAGCTTTCGTGAACACGTTGGTTATTATCATTAAGAAACAATATGGTCTCTGGTAATTTAGCACATGAAGTTTCCAAGTTAAAGAAAAAGTAAGCACTACAGTTCCCTAGGAGAAGATTCCTTATCAGATGCAAATTACACGATCTTTTACCTAAACATATTGTGAATAGATGTAGACTTATTGGTACGTTATTCTTAGATATACCGCAAAAATATTTCGTACAAGCTAATAACATACATAAAAAAATCATGCAAACAAAATTTGTAACATACATGCATATATTCCATTTTTGATCACAACTATTGAACCATAATCTTATAGTTAACAATTCTCAAATATTACAAATTTTTCAGTACTGTGAATAAGAAGTTTAAAAAGAAGCTTAATAAGTTAAGAGATTATAAAAACAGTAAATCTAATAGAGAAGATAATATAAGTAAATATAGTGTTATAAAAATAAATAAAGAAGATAATGCAATTCGATGAAATGATAATTTTTATATAATAATTAATGATGCGTATATATCAACACATTTACAGTTATCACAAATCCAACGTACGTACTTATTTAAGAAACACCCTCTATATATAGATTTACATAAATAAGAAGATAAGACTTTTTATATTAACCTTAGAACGGTCGTAATTTACGCACGTCGATAGTTTCTTTTAAATGATTGTTATAACTATGTATTTGTTATTACAAATTTTATAGGTATTGTTTTTTGAAATATTCTGATCTGTGCGATATTGTTAACGGTTACTTTTAACGTATTTTTTGATTGCCTGAAGAGGTTGACCAACGTGTTAATGAAAGCTAGTGATGCATAAGAAATTAACATCAAAATAAATTTTATGCTAAGAGTTCTACTTACGTTTTTCTTTAATTAAAAAACTTGGGTACTGTTATTCATAGAAGTAGCACAAGTATTACTTTGACAGTTGCATTTAAAATTTATTGAATTATTGTAGTTGCTGTTAGAACCTTTTTTGTTACTTATTTTAAAATGTCAATCTCATGATTATCATTTACATTCCCAGTTTTATACCTAGATAATCACATTTCAATATGTCAAGTAATGAACTCAATATTCGCTGCTGCTAACTTCACTCACTTGCTTCGTAGAGACCAGTACAGATTATGTAGATGGCGCACACGCAATATCAATGTAATAATACAATATGACTAAGTACCGACAATTTTTATAAATTACTGGCGGTAATTCCCGGCGTTACCGGAGCTGTTCCGTCAGCAGAAGAAAAAAAAAGTTATGACAAGCGAGCACATACTACTGAGCTATCTATTGTTGCGTGCGGGTGTTGTCTTGTGTTTTTATATACAGGATGCCTAACAGTGATCACCAATTAGAATATTTTGGAAACTGCTTTGATTTAAATTTTGAAAATTTGTACAATAGTGTTATGCTCTTTTCTATTAAAATAACGTCATCTATTCCGGTTATACTGGAAGTTGATACCAACTTCGTTATTTTAAATAGAACACCCTGTGCATTATGACGGTTTTGAATTCTACTTATGATTTTAGGTAGATATTTATGAGGCTTTGCTACTTCCTAAAATTTACCGTTTTGGAGATATTTTTTTTTTAAAGTAGCACAAAGTAGGTAGCGAAAAAGCATGCCTGATTTACAGAAGGAAGCTAGAGCAACAATATTCTCAGTAGAGGTAGCTGTACGCCTAAAGCTTCCTGTTCATACTTTCAAAGAGGGTTAATTACATATAAGGTGTTAAACATTTTATAGCGATTTCAAGCGAAACTTCAAACAATCGTAGGTCCATTTTTTCAAATTGAACTAAAATCGTTTAATTTTTTACGAAGTTAATTGTTGTTACTCAAACACCCATAGGTACTGATAGTTTAGTAATTAAATATTCTTTTTAAGAATGGAAGATGAAAATACGTATTCAAATTGAGAAGAACTTTAAGAAATCAATCGCAATAATAGTAAAAAAAGTATATAAACAAAAAATGAAATAAATAATTAAAACGATATCAGTTGATAATAATTGTTTAGTGCTAATAATTATCTGTATTTTAACAATTATTTTTATTCAAAAACTTTTCCATTTAGTTTGATCTACGGTTATTATTTACTTTATTTACATTTCAAATTTCTTTGTTCAATTCAACTTCAAACATTTTAGGTCATAAATTTCTTTCCTTTATTATTTGTGTTTATAATATTTGTGAATAATTTCATTGTCATACATTACTTTAATCGTTCGAGTATAAACTCATATGTAACAAGGTGACCGATTAAATTTATATTATTTTTTTGATGTTATGCTAATAATTTCACAGGTATTTTCGTAAAAATTAAATGATTTTCGGTGCTTCCATAAAGAGCAGAAAGTAATTCAAAAACTAGAGGATATGGGTATAGGGAAGCCTAGTACCATTCGAAAGAAAATAAAAATCTGCATAAAACAGACAGGATGTTCCATTTGAAAAAACGGACATACGATTGTTTAAACTTAACCAAATTCGCTATTATATATCTAACACTTTGTATGTAATTAACCCACTTCGAAAGCATGAACAGCAAGCTTGAGCTTTTTCTCCTAATAATATAATTGCTCTAGCTTTCTTACTGTAAAACAGGCATGCTTTTTCACTATCTACTGCTTGTTACTTTTTACAAAAAAATTAATATCTCGAATATGGCAAATGTTAGAAGTAGGAAATAAGTAGAATTTAAACCGTCATAATGTACAGGGTGTTCCATTAAAAATAACGAAGTTGATGTTAACTTCCGATATAACCGAAAGTGCTACATAGATGCCATTATTTTAATTGAGGAAAGCATACCCAATAATGCTATTATTCAAATTTTCAAAGTTAAAAGTTTCCGAAATATTCTAATGGGTGGTCACCGTGAGACACCCTATATAAATTATCTGTAAATATACGTATGCTCTCTATATATCAGTTTCTCCGATATAACCGAAAGTGCTACATAGATGCCATTATTTTAATTGAGGAAAGCATACCCAATAATGCTATTATTCAAATTTTCAAAGTTAAAAGTTTCCGAAATATTCTAATGGGTGGTCACCGTGAGACACCCTATATAAATTATCTGTAAATATACGTATGCTCTCTATATATCAGTTTCTCCGATATAACCGAAAGTGCTACATAGATGCCATTATTTTAATTGAGGAAAGCATACCCAATAATGCTATTATTCAAATTTTCAAAGTTAAAAGTTTCCGAAATATTCTAATGGGTGGTCACCGTGAGACACCCTATATAAATTATCTGTAAATTATACGTATGCTCTCTATATATCAGTTTATGTTATTACAAAGTAATGATTTCAGATTCTGATTTTGGAATTGGATTGACTAGTATTTCAACCCCTCTTAATCACGCGGCTGCTCATCACCGAGTTGCGGTACGACCTAAACGTACTCATGGAGCACCCAGAAGGAAAAATATTCAACAGGTAACTAAATGAAGCATTTAGATGTGCAAATTAACAAAAAAAATACCTTAATATCTTTTTGTCCTAGTTGAGCGGGACTACATTACCTACTACACCTGAAGTAAATGAAGAATGGTCAGCTAACAGAAGTCTTACACCAGAATCCACGAAAGGTACCTAAATGTAGAAAATATTTTAGTTGTATCACTTTTCAGTTTAATGTTAGAAGATAAAAATTTAACAGTGGATCGACTCTTTTATTATTATACATTACTTGAAATACTTGATATAAATAATGGTAATTAATACATGACTTTTATTTTCAGAAATATTTAGCGAGATCAATGCAGGCATGAACTTGAGCAGCAATCGAACTCAAGTTTCAAATGAAACACGATTAAAATGTTCTTCTTTACCACCCGGTTTAGCAGGACCTGAAGACTTGAGCAAGCTGAGCAGAAGCCAATCAAGCGTTGGCAGCAAATCCCAAAATTCTATCGGTCCCGTCGAAGAGGGACACGAAGAAAAGGATCAGAAAAGCCATTCTATATTCGGAAGGTTTTTTCCCAGGCGAAGCGGAAGAAAAAAGAAAGCCACCAGTAAACAAGAAACTGTCTCCATCTTTCCATATTCTAGTGCTCAACTGCAAACCAATCGGTCGATTAAAACAAACGTCTCTGTAAAGCCTACACTGTTGCAAAGAACTGGACCAGCTGCACGACAGCGTGTTCAGCCCATTGATATTCCAGCATCTCCAGAATTAATGAATCGTCATACAGAACAACACGGCGCTCCAAAAGCTTCCCCCGAAATTTTAACTGGAACTTCTCCACTGCAACAGGAACTTCAGAATCACTTTAAAAACCATGCGTTCACCGTAAATGCAAACGGAGCGAAACCTCCGCGACCTCCTGTTGAATCACCTAAGTCTCCAAAATTATTGAAAGAGGAGACCAAAATTAAACATTTCGAAAATCGCGGGGAATTCAAAACGAAACATTTTGATATGAAAGAAGAGTGTATGCACAAACCTAAAATAACCGGACTTTCTTCCTTGCAACAAAGAGCCATGCACCATAATTATGAATTGGATGAAATTGGTTTTAAATCTTTAACTGATCTGCCAAGTAACGAGACTTTAATTGAGCATAAAAGTGTCGCAAAATCACATAGTTTTAAAGATGGTAAGACGGTAAATGACTGCAACAGTAATGAAATTGCGAAGCAGAAAATTTTTTGTCAATTTATGGTTACAGATTCAAATAAGGAAAATTCTTCTAGAGATATACAAACCAAATATGAGACTACAGAAACACCTCAGGAAATTGTAAATGCTGAGAAACAACTGTTCCATAGATTAGACTCTAATGAAAGTATAAACTCAATTAATTCAAACAGGACAAGTTCCACTGAATATTTAGACAGTTTAACAACAAATAACGACGTTATCGTTTGTGGTCCTAGTCATAAGGCCGTAGTATCGGTCTGTAACACATCCGAGAGTGAAAAGAATTGTTTTATTCGCAGCATTGAAAGTGAGAGTGTAATAGAAGAAAAGACTGAAAGGTACATCCAAACCGATGAACAAAAAAATGTCAATGAAATTGCAGCCAAAGAAAAGAACATGCAAGAGCAAACGAATAAAGAGCAGAGAATATCAGTTACTAAAATTCAGCTTAAACAAACTTGTAACAGTTCTAATTTCAAAAAAAGCATACCGGAATTTTTAAATATCCAACTAAATAAAGTTGATCCAAAACCTATAAAAAATATAGTTTTAACTGCCAATTTGCATTCTCCTAAAAATGTAGATTCAGATGTAGAGCATAAATTAAAAAATACCTTTAATTTTGAAATGATTTCTCCTAAGTTAGATAATAGGAGACGTAGATTTAGTAGAGATGAAATTGAAATTTTTGAAAAAGATAATTGCCCAAATGACAGTAAGAAATCTCCTACTGACAGTATTTCTGCACTTTCGTCTCCTACCTCGAATCATTTTTATAAAAAGAACGCAGATGATCAATTCCAATACCCTCCACCAATTAAAAAATGTAATGAAGAAATTAAAAGCTGTAAATCGCTATTAAAAAGCAAATCAAATAGTTTAGAAATTGTTGATTGTATTAGGAAATCTCCAGACGATTTGGATATTAAATCATTACAAAGTAGTTTGGACAAGCTCGATTGCACTAAAAGTGAAATTAGTAATAGTAGTAGAACATCCTCCGCAAGTAGTTTACAAAACGGCGTAATATCTGATTGCATTACTTATAGGAGAAAATCAGGTGGAAGAAAAAGGGAAGAAGATGAACCAGAATTGATGAAAGTTTTTGCAAGAAGATCTCTTAAAATTAAGGATGAAGATGAAGAAATATTGCAAGAAGAAATACGAAAATTTAAAAAGGAAGATTTGACAGTGGACACTAATTCACTTAAATCTCGAGATAGCGATAAAGAAAATCAACATGACTCTCCATTAGAAAGTAGGACACTTCCTTTTAGGGACAAAGACGCCAACAGACTTGCAGTAGTTGAAAATATAAGGGAATCAGAAAAAGCTATTAAAGAGCCCTCTCAAAATGATTCGGTTGAAGTAATTTTCAGAAAACCCTTTAACAATAAATTTTCCGGTTTTCCCCGAAGTACCAGCTTGAATATGCCTCGAGTTCAAGAGTCTATTGTACAAGGTAAAATTCATACACATGGTTCGTTTGCTGAAAAATCTAAGACTGAAAAAATAGACACAAATAGTAAAAGTTGGATTAACATTAGCAAACAACAAGAGGATATTAAAGAACAAGTATTTAAAACGATCATTCAAAGTGAGGTAATTCACGATATTTCGACTAAGAGCGATTTGGAAAATAAAGATTTTCCCACTTTGCCAAAAAATTTTATTCAACGGAAAGCTGAGTGGGAAAAAAGAGCGCAGGAAGCTCTAAAAAAAAAAAGCCCTTAAAATATTTGACTAGTAAAACTTGTTTATAACGCAGAAAATGATAATAAAGAACGAGCTGTGATTTCAAATTATACTAAAATGAATGAACCGTTATATTGATTTATAAGAAAAATAAAATAAATGAAATTATCTTCGTTACAGGAAAACATTTCACTCGCTATTAATTATTTTAACTGAACTTTCTATTACATTATTAGTTCCTTGTTAAATTATAGATGTATGTAATTATAATTTGTACGTAATATGTACTAAAATACTAATATTCAAAAAAATGTACATATGTTATGTATTTTATATCACGATTATTTTATAAAATATGAAATGATTAAAAGCATTTAAACGTGAAAAAGATCCATGTCGTATTATAATAAAATCCGACAGTTCTTTCTCGTTCATTTTTAGTAAAAAATATTTAAAATTTTATATATTTTGTTTTTAAGTCTTATGTGAACTTTTTTATTTCATTAAAGTAAACAAATCATCTTGCAAAATCTGAATGAACATTTATTGCATTTTTAGTGCTCATGTTTTTAAAATTACATAATTGTTTTTGATGTGGTAAGGTATTGATATTTGTATAATAATCCCATTATTTTGATTAATAATATTAGTGTAATATGAGAAATTTAAAAGTTAAGAGTGTTTTTTGTATGAAAAAATCAAGTGCCTTTGTCGAGCAAGGGTTTTAATTTAATGGTTACTAAATTTATAAATATTGACCAATAAAAAATAAGTATTTTTGTTGGTTGGTTGGTGCTTGCAGAGTAATCAATAATTGTATTTAAATATAGGTAATTTGTCTATGTACGTTACTGTCAACAGTTACATTTGTATAATAAAATTTATGAACTAATCGTGGTAGTTTTTCCATTTTACAATAATACAATCTCCACTTACATCAGCATGGATGCTCAGTTGGCACACCAGTGTCTCGGTTTATTTGTAGTCACTGTGTACATTTTTTAAATTTGCTTATTTATTTCCACTAATCTCTTTTTTGTCTTTGTTCTTGCGTAGTCAAACACCTAACTTAAATATTCTATGACATTTTTAATTATTAATAGTGGTTAATACGAAATATTAATGTGAAAAATATTTTTTGTGTTAAAACAGAAATTAATGAACTAAGTAATTAAAAAAGAACATAGCGTAGTAAAACAGGCTAAAATTAAGGAAATTACATTCGATGATTATTTTAAATGTCTGTTTCGCAATAAATTGGTAGAGATGAATTGAAACGTAATTATTTCAAGAAAATATCATGACCTATATACAGTTAAACAAAGTAACCTTTCACGCAGTCCATATGATGATAAACGAATAGTAAACACATTAACAACGGATACGTATCCATGGTGATATAATTTTAGATAATTTTTAGACTGCTACGTATAAAGCACAATTTATATAAAACGGAAATAAATGTATATGTATTATGTTTGAGACAATCGTATTGCTTGCTTATATATGGGTACCTTCTTATGTTTATTGTAAGATTTGTTGTAAGTTTTCGAATACGTATAAACTAAGTGTATATGTCATCATCATAATCATCGTCGTCAGTCCTAAGACTGGTTGGATACGTACCTCCACTCTTTCCTATCCTGAGCTAAACTTCGCATTTCCCTAAACCTAGAGCAACCCACATTCTTAACTATTTGCGAACAGTAATCTAACTTAGGTCTACCTCTACCCCTCCTAACTCCTGTTTCTGCCTTTAATATGTCTCTGACTAGACCTTCATGTCTGAGAAGGTGTCCTACCAACCTATCTCGCCTATTCTTTATTGACTTCCATAGAGTCCTCTGTTCTCCTATTCTTTCTAATAGCTCTTCATATCTAACCTTTTTTACCCACGTTATTCTCAACATTCGCCTATAACACAACATTTCGAAAGTTTCTAACCTAAGTATACGAGGTGTGTTCAAAAAGTACTCGGAATTTTTAAATTTCGCGGGTCTGGAGAGTCCGATTGTCAATTTTTTTTTATTGTGTTGGTATACATGCCCTTAAGTATGATAAAATTTTCAGCTATATTCACTGTTTACTTTGTCTGTGGTAGTCGCTAAGGTTCGACATGTTTTTATGAGCTCGGCGATTTTTGCTTGTTTAAACAATGGAAGAATTGAAGAGTCAAAGAATTTGTATTAAATTTTGCGTAAAAAATAAAATAAAGTGTAACAAAGTGTGTGAACTGTTACAAAAAGCCTATGGTGAGTCTGCTATGAAAAAAATAAGTGTTTACGAGTGGTATAAGCGTTTTCAATAATCGATGAAAATGTGAAAAAAGTGGAAAAAATGGTTATGAATGATCGCCGAATCACAATTAGAGAAGTTGCTGATGAAGTTGGCATATCAATTGGCTCATGTCATAACATTTTTTCAAATGTTTTGGGCATGAAACGAGTGACAGCAAAATTCATTCCAAAACTGCTGAATTGTGACCAAAAAAACAATCGCATGAACATCGCTCAGGAGCTGTTAAATGACGTCAACGACGATCCAAGTTTGATTGAAAGGGTCATAACTGGTGATGAAACATGGGTGTACGGTTATGATGTCGAAACCAAAGCACAATCGTCCACCTGGAAGCATTCAACGTCACCAAGAGCGAAAAAAGCACGTCAAGTTCGATCAAATGTCAAAGTTTTGCTTACTGTTTTCTTCGATTATAATGGCATAGTGCATCAAGAGTTCTTACCACAAGGTCGTACGGTTAATAAGGAATATTACCTTGAAGTTATGCGACGCTTGCGTGAAGCAATCCGAAAAAAACGCCCCGATTTATGGAAAAACAATTCATGGCTTTTGCACCACGATAACGCACCTGCTCACTCGTCTGTAGTCATTCCCCAACCTCCATATTCACCAGATATGGCACCGTGTGACTTTTTCCTGTTCCCAAAGTTGAAGAGACCCATGAAAGGACGGCGTTTTTCCTCGATTGAAGAAATAAGAAAAGAACATACCAAAAAGTGAATATCAAGAGTACTTCGAAGATTGGAAAAAACGCTGGCATAAGTGTATTATATCTGGGGGGGAAAACTTTGAAGGGGACCACATTGATGTAGACGACGAATAAATAAATATTTTTTTGAAAAAACGACAATTCCGAGTACTTTTTGAACACACCTCGTATATGTAATTTTAAATAAATAAATAAATATACATACAACTATAATTGGATATATAAAATAAATTATTTCTGTTCCTGTTTCATTCATGGGTAAAGTGAGGATAAAATGAGACATGTTCATGTATCATCATCATCATCATGAGGTCGTCAGTCCTAAGACTGGTTGAACACGCACCTCTTTCCTATCCTGAGCTAAACTTCGCATTTTCCTAAACATAGAGCAACCTTATCCTTAACTATTTGCGAACAGTAATTTAATCTAGGTCTACCTCTGCACCTCCTAACATCCGTTTCTGCCTCTAATCTGTCTCTGACTAGACCTTCATGCCTGAGAAGGTGTCCTACTAACCTATCACGCCTATTTCTTATTGACTTCCATATAGTCCTCTGTTCTCTTACTCTTTCTAATTCCTCTTCATTTCTAACCTTCTCTATCCACGGTATCTTCATCATTAGGCGACACTAAAAACCGCAAGACTCCGTACCTTTTGCGCAGGCGCGAAATTAACTCCTGTCAAGAATGTCTATGAGAATTGTCTTGCTGCCCTTTCTCATATTTTTAAATCGTTCTAACGTCTAAGTACATTTTTAACCGTCAATTCAATTCATGGTTAATCGTGTATGCTGATTTATTTCATTCGTTTTTGGATTTCCTTCATCTGCAGAATTGTGCACATGCAACAGTGTTTAATCTATGCATTAAACAAAGACTCATAATCATTGTTTAAAAAGCGAATTTATTCTGCTTTCTTAAAACAATTACTTATTTTTGTGTTTAGCTTATAAGTGGTGCTGGTGTAAATAGTGTCGAACAATTTAATGTATTTGTTTATATTATTAGGCAGACGTTTTTACGTTATATCTGTTATATTATATTAATCATTTTCAAAATCAGAAAAATATAAATAACAAAGAAGTACATCAAGACCGTGAAACGCAATTGAAGATAGCAATG